AGGGCAGAGGGCTGGTACAGAGAATATGAGGGTAGCAGAGGTAGAGGGGAGCAGAGAGGACGAGGTTCCTCCCCTGTAGCTGCAGAGAACTGCATGAAACTTGGCAGGCTTGGAGCAGGGATGGGGCAGTGGCGGCAGTCTGGGTGTGCATGCCACACTTGCCCCAAGAAGAGCTGTGCAGAGCAGAGGGCGTCATCATTATGTAACCCCATCTTTGTCACCACATTCTGCCATAAAGTTCCACCTGTCCATTCTGCAGCTAGACAAACTGAGCTGAGGCTTGCAGTGAGGTGAGTGGGGAGGGGCAGAGATGGGGAAGGGACCCAGATGTGCCTGAGCCCGGAGGTTGGGACAGGCAGGAAGGCTTCTTGGAGGAAGTGGAATTTGATCAGCTGAGATTTCATTGACAGCAAATTGCATTATCTATAAAAACCAGTTGGAAAGAAACTCTTATGTTTTCTTACGCAGAAGAGACGTCCTATCGTGGGCTGCTACGGCTGCCATCCTGCATTAGGCTGCCCTCAGGCCCCGGCGCGGAGCGGGGAAATTAGAGCCAATCAATGCGATTTCAAGGCGGCAGCTCCCTCTCAGCAGCCACTGCCATGCCTGTTAGCCAGCCCGCAGCCCCAGTGCCTGACACCACAAGCAAATGGCCCTTAATGGGGACCAGACCTCCTCCCACCCTCCCACCTGCCTGCCTGTGTGTCTTTGTGCCTGTTTGCTGAGCTGAGAGTGTTGTTCCTATGCCCCTGTCCTGCCCCAGGTCCTACTGAGGACAGAGTGGGGGAAAGAGTCCTGCATGTGGCCCTACTCACAGGGGGCAGAACCTACAGCATGTGAGGTGTGCACGGCAGGGCTCAGCTCAGCTCCAGGCAGCTGCCACCAGGTCACCTGGCTGCTTTGACTCCCCCTGCCTTCCTATGCCCTTTGGGGGATCTGGGAATTCTCTGCCCATCCTTTGCTAAAGGGAGCCCAGGAAGGCTGGGCCCAGGGCCTGCTAGAGAGTCTGTGGTACGGGGTGCTCTGACCAGGCCTTCCTCTTGAGCCCCATTTCTCTGGCCTTGACTGGGGCCCTCACCAGCTGTCACCTGGGACTCTACTTCCAATCCTCTGCCTCCTGGCTTCCTCCAACCTACTGCTGCCAGGAGGTTATCTAAAACACAGCTGGGTCACTACTTCCCAGCTATGCCATCCTCAGTGGCTTCCCACTACCCTCAGGGTGAAGGCTGAACTCCTGGGCTGAGGGTATTGCCCCTGGGCCCCCTTCCTGCCACTTCCCAAGCCTCCTTTCTCAATGAGGCACCCACTCAACTTGGGTGCAAAATTTAAGAAGGCATCAAAAACTCAGGGATCAAAATAAAGACTGCTTAAGGCAATCTTTGTGAACAGCAAAATTAATGTAAAAAATCAGGATGAACAAAATATCAAACTTTTAATGAAGACATGGACGAACATGACAGGATTAGAGAGGGGGAAGTGAGCTGAATCATGTAGTGTGGGGCAGCTTCTGTCTTTAATTAGCCTCACCCTAGTGCCGGCTCAATGGCTGGCTGGGCCTGCTTCATTCCCCACCATCCAGTGGGGCCTCAGTTACTGCTTCGAATCTTCTGAGAACACCAGGCCTTTGGTTGTACTATCCCTCCTGCCTGGAATCCTCTCCCACCTTCCTACCTCTGTGCTTCACCTGGATCCTTTAAAATTCCTCTAAAACTCAGCTCTGCCAGCCCTTCCTTTGCCTTCCTTTTCCATCCCTATCCCAGCCCCTGATACCAAACTGAGCCCAGCCTCACAGCACTGAACGCCAGACACTGTCAGCCTCTGAAGCCACATGTGTGGTGAGATCCTTCAGAGCAGAATGGTCTTGTGTACATTCTGGTCCTTAACGCCCATCCTGGGGCCTGACACAGATCCTCTTCAATCATCTTTGACTGACTGACTGACTGAATGAATGAATGGCTGTGGGTGACATCCCATTTTAATGAACACTTTTAATCATCAGTTTTAAACAAAACTCTTGTGGTTCCTCTGGCCCAGATAATTTACCCAACCACCAGCCCTGTAGAGTAAGTGCTGCAAAGTGATTCTAGCAGTCTCTGAAAATCTTGGCAAGAGAATTTGGTCTATACTTTAAAAAACCACTCTTTTTTTCCTGATTAAAGACCTTCAATTCACAATAAAAAACAACATAGAAAGAGTGAGACAATCTTCTCCAAATAAGGCCAAATCCAACTTTTCTTTACGTTTGGCAGTGCTTTTTCCAATTGTGAGAAGGCCCAAATGCATGATCCAGCCTTACAGAAACTAGCCAACTTCCAGAAAAATTTCAATGATTCTGTGCACACAGGCACAAAGATGCAATGACCTCTCTTAGGGAAGGGGCTCCCAGTCTGAAGCCCCAGTCAGGGCCCATTTGTATGACAACTCCCAAACCATCCTGGGCCATGTGATCTCCTAAGTAAGCCCCGCTCTGCTTACTTGGGCAACCCACGTCTCCTAAAACTCAGTATAAATTTAGTTTTATACTTCTCTACTGTTTGGTGGACCTGACATCAGAGCATCTTCAGAAAGTCACATTTCCTGGAAAATATAGCCAGCTAGTAAGGAAACAGGGGCTGTCGGCTAACTTTATGGAGACCCACTGACAGCCTAGCCCACAGCAGAGAAGCTGGAGGGAGAAAGACATTTCAATACTTCCTTCCCCCTTAGTGTCCATGCCACCATTCTCTCCGTCTCTGCAAACTGGCTGGTTCACGTCGCCCTGGGTGGAAGCGACCTATAAAATAGGATGGCTGGAGGCAGACGCCTGGCCTCCGCTGTGGTCAAGTCAGGAGCTCTGGGTACCTGCTGGCTCATCTATGATACGGGGATAATGTCAGGACGAGCTAATAAACGCAAAAGCCAGAAAGCTTGCTGTCTTGCATGCCTGTCTCCAATATGGTTTTTATGGCTTCCAGGACGGTGTCTTGGTATCTGGTAATCTTTCTCAGCAACAGGCTCGTTTTTCTCCTCAAATTCCTCTGCGTTTGGCTAAGGACAATGTGTTTGTCCTACATTTGTCAAGTTGCTCAGAGTTCCTAATGCCCATTCATGTTCTTCCCAGCATTGGCAGAGCACCTCTTGCTTATCTTTCATCACGCTCCCTCCGCGCGCCGGGTACAAATGACATTTGAGTGGAACCCTGGCTAGCGATGCCTGTAAAATGGAGACTTTGGCGAGACTCTCTTGCCTGGGTCAGGGCGGGAATGAGGCCGCAAAGCAGGCCTGAACATCTTTAATGATGTGCAGAAAGAAAGGGGCCTCTGCCCCCACGGGCAGATGTACACAGCTGTTAATGGAGGAGCTCTAATACTGCGACCAGCACAGAGAAACGATCCCCTCCAATGCTTCCTAGTGAAGTTAAGACATTTTTTGTTGATCGTGCCTTTGAACTAAGGTCATTTAAGTATACAACAGATGTTCCTCGGAGGGAAACAGACGTATAAAGTCAGGAACACAGAAGGGACCTAATGGTTTACTGGGGGTGGCGCATTAAGTTCATAGCAGTTTAACTCCTTTCAATGTTAAACAAAACAATGACGCAATTTTATGCGCAATAAAAACCTGTCAAAACAATCATCCTGGGCAGTGGAGGTCCTTTCAGTCATTCTTCTTCCAAAGATAAACCAGGGGCACAAGTGACAGGCGTTTCTGGCTTCTTCTGTGTGGTTGAAGCAGTTGGTGTGGCAGTCTCAGCAGTTTAGGGCTGAATCATCCTGGATGGCTGAAGCCTGAAGCTTGGGGCAGAGAAGGGGGCAAGTTTAAAATACTGAGGCAGAAAATTCATGAGCTGAGCAGCTTCCTGGCTGCACTAGCCTTCCACAGGTGAAACTGGTGGTCACCAGGGAGGTGAGATGGGGGGTTGGCTGGGCAAGTCCCACTGCCTGATAAGTCCCTCCAGTGTCTTCACATGGTAAACTCCACCACCAGTCAGACCACAAGTATTTATGGAGCATCTGCTAAGTGTCAGGCGTGTCCTTTGGGGTTCAGTATTGCCCTCTTCAGGGTCTTCTGCGTAACTGTGGCTCTCCATGAGAGAAATCCTGCCGCAAGGCTAAAAAAGACTGGATTTGAATTCGGGGAGATCAGAGTCTGAATCCTAGCCCTGGCATTTATCAGCTGTGTGACCTTGAACAAGTCACTTAACCTCTCTAAGCCTTGGTTTCCCCCATTTATAAAATGAAGGTGGTCAGACGACACAGGGTTGTCGTCAGGCTTGAGTGAAAGAATGGATGAAAGTCCCCAGCATGGTACCTGGTGTCGAGCAGGTGTTTGAAGGCTCTCTAGGAGCTCCTCACCTGTCTCTATCCTCACCTGTCTCAGTAATTTTTCAAAGTACCCTAGGCCAAAAGACATACCCAACAGTACTATTTGTTAAGTGGTTAGGTACAATTTAGTAAGTATGCCCTAAAAACTTAGTAGCTATTCAAGAAAATAATGCATATAAGTTGAAAGAAAAATACTGTTTTTTTTAAAACTCATTCTTAGTTACCCACAATTATTTCTTAACTCCACTAGGAAGCATTGGAGGGGATCGTTCCTCTGCTCTGGTCGCAGTATTAGGGCCCCTAATACTGGGTATATATACCTTTTGGGTGCTGTATAACTTCTCAGACCTGAGTGTGGGGCCGGGTGCCACTGTCCTTTTCTTTTTCTTTTGTCAAGTTTCAGATATTTATTAAGCAGTGTAATCCTCAACACAATACATCAACATGATTTCATGCATTTAGAGGAAAAGTATTTTCCTGATTACGTGGAAAATTGTGCGGATGGCTTCTGGATAAAGGAATGAACTCAGATCCCTCTGGCCCGGAGACCCTGCTTTTTCCAACACACTCAAAGCACCAGTACTTTCCCAAGAAAATATGGACTGTTTTTGCTTTGCAGAGGGATGAGGGATGAAGGGAAGCCCATGTAGCAACCCCCGGCCAGCTGAGCGGCCGTCTTGGTGAAGCTGCTCCTTCTAAGCAGCTTAATTGTGAAACGTGGTTTAGAAGTCTGGACCTTCTGTCTTCAGTGTGCTGTAATCCGCATTCACTGAGTAGAACTTGTATTGATCAGTGGGACCCAGTTTGTTCCAGGGTTCTGGGTTATTCTTTCTGTCCCAACTAACATCTGGATTGAACAATGCCAGACACAAGACTTCCAGTGCTGCTCTGGTCCCTCCAGCTCCAATAAATACAAAGAGGGGTATCGAGCTCGGACGCTTCTTGGCCTGACCCAGGGTCTGGAGAAGCATGTTTGTGGCAGCGGCCTTTCGTCTAAAGGGAAAGAAAAATAAAACTGCGGACCAAGACCTGGACTAAGTCTGCCCTTTAAAAAAAATTTACATCGATTTTTGTGTAGTATTTACTTTCTCTGACAGTGACCCCTTCAAACTTGGTTTTACAAAGCTAAGATGTCATGAACGTGAAAATTGTGAAGTACTGTGTGCTAATAGTGTTCATGATTCTGACAGTTGTCACTGTTACCCTTGAAACTGAAAACACCACTTGGTGATATCACAGCTGGAGGCTGACTCCTCTCCCTTCCCCCTGCCCCGCACTGACCACAGTGTGTTCACTGTTGATTCTCCAGGGCGGCAGGCCCTGGGTTGGGGCAGGACCTGGGCTGCTCTAACTGATTGTCCTGCTGACCTCTGTGTGGACATCTGAGTAGCTCTCAGGGCAGGGCCCACCCTGGGAGAACAAGCACTCAATAAAATAGGAGCTACTGTCTGTGCTGATGCACTCGGGGGCCACAACATCTTGTAGGCAGGTCTGTCCACTTGCTCCCTGAGCCACATGAGGCCTGCCTGGAGCACGAGCCATTTGGACCCTCGGCTCCACAGGAGCTGGGTGTCAGGGGAGTTGTGGCCTAGATTTGGTGGGCCCACCAAAGCCCAGTATTCAGGGCACTGCCGAGGATATTGGATGTCACGGTTTCCCTCTACCCTCCAGCCATCCCTCTGGACCTCCAACCCAGAACAGAACTCAGATCCCTTCTGGCCCGGAGACCCTGCTTTTTCCCAATGCACTCAAAGCATCAATACTTTCCCAAGAAAATATGGGCTGTTTTGTTTTGCAGAGGGGATCAAGGGATGAGGGAAAGCCCATGTAGCAACTCTTGGCCAGCTGAGTGGCCCTCTTGGTAAAGCTGCTCCTTCCTCCAAAGGAGGCCGTGAGGGGCTAGGCTCTCCCTGGCTCAGATGGCTGTGCAGAGAAGTACCCCAGCCAGAAAAGCTGCCCCCCCACCCTCACGCACACACTGCTGGCTGGAACGAGGGCGAGCTGGAACACTGCGCCGTGCCGGCGCGCCAAGGCAGCCAGTTTTCTAGGTCAGTTCGGCGTGTGGGTGCCCCTGACATTCCCTGAAGCCCTCCCCCATCCCCTGTAACCTGTGGGAGCTGCCCCTGCCCTCACAGTCTGAAGGGACACCAACCCAGGAGCACGCCCCTTCTATTTTTTGTTATGGCTGGTTGGTTCGTTGTCTTCTCCAACTACAAAAGGGGACCTAAGTCTGTAGAAAATTTTACAAATACCAAAAATTGCAGAAAGAGGCAATCAACATTATGGTATTTATCCTTGCAGCTCCCCCACCCCGGCCCTGGTTTATTTTTTAATTGAAATCCCTGAGTATTTATCCTTCTATCATCCTATGCTCAGCTCCCCCCTCCCGCCTCTGACTCGACATTATCGGTAGGGTTTTTCTCCTTTAGTTAAAGTCTTTGTAAACACCGTTTTCAAAGGCTGGAAGGCGTCCCTCACCAGGCTGAGCAGGGCACACAGGAGCATCCCCCCGTGGGTGTGCACGTTGTTTATTTGTTTGGTGGCATTGTATGAGTGATGATATGAAAAGCACTGCTTTTATTTTAAAATATTTCTTGGGGATAGATTCCTAGAAGTAGCACTATTAGGTAAAGTATAGGAACATTTGTAGGGTTCTTGGTCTTTGTTGCCCAGCTGCCTCCCAAATGGAACACGTTTACCCTTGAGAAACAGAGAATTTAATACACTGTGCTCAGCTCCAGTGATAGAGAAACACCCAGCCGCAGACCTCACTGTCTGAATGCAGCTATCTTGTCACCACTATCAATTCCAAGTTGATATCCAAGTACCAAACAATCTTGGTACTTCCTCCCCCTCAAAGGCCACCTTCCTCACAAAAATAAAAGACTGAATATCTTTGGAAAGACTCTGGGCCCAAGAGCCAGGAAGGCCAGGTTCCAGGGCCTCTCTCTTCAGTGAGCCGGTAAACTTAGCCCTTACAGTCTTCATTGGTCAAGTAAGGGGCTTCACCTGGAGGCCCCCGAATATCCCCCAGCCTGTGACACAACAGGAGTTAGGGATCCACACTGTGGTATCAAGCTGCCTCATTCAAGCCCCAGTTTTGTCAGTTGCCAGCAACATGATCTTGGGTGATTTATTTTATTGGCCTAAGCCTCAATCTTATAATCTATGAAATGGGAATAAAGGAAATTAAATGATCTGTCAAGTGATCATGGGAATTAAATGTAACTGTATATTGAAAAACTTTAAAATAGTGCCTGGCACAAAGTAAACACTACCTAAAGGGCTTCCCTCGCCGTGCAGTAGAAACATCAGCACAGGTGAAGGGAGTCGCGAGGTTGTGATAAACACAGCTGAGGATGAGAAAAGATGCCCGTCCCCACACTGGCCTGAGCTAGCTGGCATTGCCTTGCCCAATTTTTGTCTGGCCTAGGCCATGTCTGGCACTTGCTTTTCATCTGACCAGAAGTCTGGCTGTGCGGCACCCCTCAGGCAAGGCGGCTCTGAAATATGATGCTTCCACGGGAGGAGAGTTGAAGGCCACTTCGCCAGGTGGTTATCAAAGCCCTGGCCGCCACAGAGGCTTGGGAACATAATCTCCGGAAAGAGATTGTCTGAACTCAGCTTGCTGGGGAACAAGGACATTGACTCTGATAAGTCCAAGCGGTGGCCAAGAAGGAATTGGACCTGGGGGCTCGGGAGGGCCTCAGTGACTCATCCTGCAGACGAATTTCCGGGGGCCTATGGTGAGCCCGAGGCCAGACACACAGTATAGGTACAGAGGCTGGGGACCAAGACCAGGACAGAATCCTCTCTCTGGAAAAAGGCTGGGAGAAGGCTATGAGCAGAAAGGTACCTCTGCCAGGGGCCACTCCCAAGCCTGACATCAGGCTACCAGGCCAAACCAAGATTTCCCAGGAAAAGTGGGACTCCAGGCCAGGCATGTCTAGAACCTCAAGAGAAAGGGGACATGGCCTTGCTTTTGGTGCCCCAGGAAATTCTGCTCAGCAGTTGTAGAAACCCCTGTTTCCAGGCAGAATGTCCTCCCTGGGGGAGACAGGCTGGGAGGGATGACTGGCGTTCTACAGGTTGCAACCAGAAACCGGAGTCAAGAGTGGTCTGAAAAGATGCTTAAAATAACAAAGGGAATCAGGGGACAGCCAGCATGGAGCATAAGTCTCCAACACCTCACTTTTCTGAGAAGAGCTCGGAGGGTTCACCAGCCAGGCACAAAAGAAGTCAAGGACATCTGAACCGGTATTAATGTACTGAACAAAGCCACCCAACAAAAACGAAGTGAGATGATTGTAAGAGGAACTCAGTTTCTGCTGTAAACACTCTATTTCTTAAGGGGAGGCATGAGAAAGCAAGCACTCATAGGCATTTTTCCTTTCTCGTTGGCTTTGAAATTCAACATTTAATCAACAATCATTAATGCCACTTTCAACACACCCTGTTCCCTATCCGGCATCCATGCTCTCTTTCTCTTTGCAGACAGAAAACTAATTTCATTTGAGTATTGATCTCCTTCCTGCCCAGCTCTGTAGAGGCCCAATAATTACCCTAAACTCATAGTGCCTGGACAGTGCTCCAAGGTGCCACAGCAGCTACTTCCACAAGGCGTGGTTGACAAGAGTCTCCACCACATAGAGGCCCAAGCTCACTAGGGCCTTCTTTTGTTCCACTGCTTGCCTGAAGCCCCTCAGACTCATGGCCATGTTGTGGTTCCAGCCCTGGGCTGTGCATGCTGACTCCCAGCTGTGGCTGGCCATAGACACCCAAGCTCACTATGGCCTTCTTTTGTCCCATTTATTTTAAACTACTATGTATTAAATTCTTGCTGCATACTCTGCTCCTTTCTGCTCATCCAGGCAGTCCTTGTCTCTGCTCTGGAGTCTGACTCACCCCGCGGGGGTGTTCTTGGGCTTACTTAGCTGGATGTTATCCGGACACCATGCTCTCTCTCTGTGGTGGCTGCTCCGGTCCAGCTAAGTTATGCTTGGCATCTGTGTGTGGTCACAGGGAACAGCTACGAGGTTACTTTGCTGGTTGTTTTGGTTTTGTGTTTTGCTTGTTTGTTACTGTTTCTTAATAATGCTTAGATCAGATAGAGATGTGGTTATAAAAAAAATTAAGAAATTCTGTCTGTGAGTAGCAAGAAGACTCACAATATAATCTTTCATTCTTTCCACTTATTTTAAACTACTATGTATTAAATTCTTGCTGTATACTCTGCTCCTTTCTTATTATATTTCCACTAATCCTCAAAATAATCCTTTTTTTTTTTTTTTTGAGACAGAGTCTTCCTTTGTTGCCCTCCCCAGAGTATCCCTTTGTAGATAAAGTGTCATGGCATCATTGCTCCCAGCAACCGCAGACTATTGGGCCCAAGTGATCCTCTTTCTTCAGCCCCCCAAGTACCTGGGACTATAGGTGACTGCCAGAATGCCCAGCTACTTTTAGAGATAGGGTCTCACTCTTGCTCAGGCTGGTCGCAAACTCTTGAGCTCAAATGATCCTCCAACCTCAGCCTCCCAGAGTGCAAAGATTACAGGTGTGAGCCACCATGCCCGGCTATTTCAGAATAATCTTATGCAGTAGGTACTATCTGATCACTCAATCTTTCCACACTCGTTAATGAGTTGTTTCTGAGTGGTTTCTGTTGTTTCTTATCACCCCCCACCCTGGGACTGAGGCTCAGAGAGAGTAAGCAAGTTGCCTAAGGGTCCAAGGCAGGGAGTAATGAGAGCTAAGGCTGGCCTTGTGGAGGGAGGTCTGGATATGGGGAAGGAAACAATGTGTCAGGCCAAGGAGTTTTTTCCTAAAAACACAAAATAACAGAAGACAATTATTTAAATCTGGAACACCTTTTTTAAAATTTTATTTTATTGTTGGAGAATCATTGAGGGTATAATGAGCCAGGTTACACAGTTGAGCACTTTTTAAAAGAAAATTTCCCTTAATGTTTCAGTTTTTTAGAAC